CGGATAATGCTGATACCATCTCTAAGAGGGATAATGACCTTTAAAACGAGAGGGACATTGTTACAGTACCAAGAAAAAGTGAGTGAACACATACAGCTGCATGTTTGAAACGTACCTGCTCCACGCGCGGATCGTCACAGACAAACTGGTTGAATTTTCGGAGCGCCAGTCCGTTGCTATCTGTCGTGTCTTTAAGATAAACCTTGGCTTTGAACAGCGTGTTATCGACACATATGACCCCTCGCAATTTCAGCAGACTGTTGTCCAGAATAAAGTTGTAGTAGTTGATGTAATTATCCTTGTCAGCGTCAATGAAGACCATGTCAAACTGCTCACCTGCGGCAGCCAATTCCTGGAAGAGACAGAGAGTTATTACAGAACTGGCCGTGTGCCCCGCAGTCATTTAACTTATTAACACCAACGAAAAAAGAAGAAGAAGAGTCAGTGTTAACCCTTGCCTGCTCTCATTATGCAAAGCACTCGACATACCACACAGCACCTACAATTGTGAATGTGAAAAGTGCTAAATAAATCATTTTTGCAAAATGCTCCACTTTGTTTTCTGGAGCATCTTTAACAGATGGACAGCTTCTCTCACCTTCAGGGTGTCCATGGCGGACCCAGTCCTGACAGTGATCTTCCTGCCATGTGGAGACTTGTCAAAAATGGACTGAGCAAAGTCTTTGAGGTACGGCTCCAACTCGCAGGCGACTAAGCAGCCGTCCTCGGGAAGCCCTTCAGCCATCGACAGAGCACCGTAGCCGGTGAACATCCCGATCTCCAGAACCCTCTTAGCTTGACTCATGTGGATCAGCATCTTCAGGGTCTGGCCTGGTCAAAAAAAACAAAACACCGGAGAGCAAGTTACCACAATACTGTAAACCACTGAATGTAATAGCAACGTAGCAGTACGCATGTAGATGTCGAACCTTCAACATGTCCAGTGATGCACTCCTTAGGAAGGCGGAATCTAGTTTTGCCCTCCTTGTGCACTTGATCCCAGTCATGGGAGATGGTTTTTCTACAATTAAAGAGTGAAAGACAATACTAACAACCGTTATCTCACACCGTAGTCATTTTGAGCTACAGATGAGCATGTGCATGGAAGCCAAGACATACTTATAGAGCTCTGCCAGAGGTTCGCTTTCCTGCGTGCTCATTTTCTCCAGGTAGTCATCCAGGCCGCTGGCTATGTCCAGAGCCTTCTGCAGCTGACTTGTCAACTCCTCCGGCACGTTGCCGCTTGCTTTGGCTACCTCCTTGGCTCTTGCCAGGAGATCCACAAGGACTTCCACCGGGGTGTCGGGAACTACGGAGGGGTTAACATAGTGTGGTTTTAGTTTGCAGAGCAACTACTCTTTCCTGCTCCAGGCAGTAAGATGTAAGGGGTGTGGAACTTTAAAATACAATAACATAAATCAATTTCTCAATTGTTTGATGAGTTGTTTGGTCTGTAAATAAAATACCCATCAGTTTACTGAAACTCAAACGTGACGTCTTCAAATTATCAAAAAGACAAATTATATCAATGAGAACGGAAATCAGAAAAATCATGATATTTTAACCAACAATATTCCAAACGTGGCTTAAAATAATAGTGAGCTCATATTCAACCCCACTAAATTACAGGCACACGGAGACATTTATGTATTTTAAACTTTTTTCACATAATTTTAAACTTTTTTTTCAGCGTTTTCTTATGACCACGAACTACAGAGAACCGGTTGCTGTGAAAGGCATCTGTCTGCCGGTGTTTAACACTTGGTCTGACACATGAGGCGCAGATTCACACGGGACTGAGCAGGAGTTTGGTTCCTCGAGTTCTGATACTCGTTACGCTCTTATGATATTTACTCTGACCCCCTTTGCAGCCGTGATTAATCGATATTCCTTACCTTTTTCGCCGAGCATGGTGCGCGTTTGTGGGCGTGACGATTTCGGCAGCTTTCAGCCACAGTGGAAGTAGCTCGAGACGTGGTGGCAGACTTTCTGTTATATGACTACAACTGTGCAAATTGTTGAGATGAGGGGGAGCGGCCAGTGTCTTGCACAACAGGCGAACAAACGTAAATGAGCCAACAGCACGTGAGAGAGCGACGGTTACACAATTGTTCAAAATATGACCCCCAACATTCATAGGTTCATATTGTTCTCCTCCTCCTGATTTTGAATACCAACGTGTTGGGGTCCAAAAGTCGGTAAAAACAAAACAATTGCAGATAAATGTTTGCTGTGGGTCCTAATCTAACACGGGGGTTAGGGAGGAGACAGAATATGCATGCTATATGTATCTTTCCGAAAATTATAATATGTGTTTTGTTAATGTTTTGAGAAGAAACACATTCACGTTTTGCTATGATGGCTGTTTTTTACAGTAGTTTATTCTGTCTATAGTACTTTGTATGCTACATATGTCGGTAGGATGAGGGTTGAATGGTGCGAGTGGCACAGAAACTATTTGTGAACAATTTCAAACCAAACTCAAAATTACAATTTTTTTTGTTTAAAATTTGAAGAAAATTAAGTTCACCGACAACGGTTCAACGGTTTACAAGCTCTGTGTGTGTTTATGAAATAAAGATGTGCATGCACACCGTTTAATTTTCATGATTTTTTTTTGCAAGAAACTACTATTGACCGACTGCCAAAAACCCACAGCACTCAATATCAGACGGTCAGCTGCAGCAGAAGTTGGCGTTTGCCACCAGCAGGCTAACAAACTGTTATGGAAAGGCAGCAAGCACACGGATTAAAGACCTGCAGGTCTGAGCTGGTTACAAACACACCAACACTCGAGCAATTTTAAAACTAAAATTCCCCCCCCCTGGAGCCAAGCCTGGAGACAACACCCAGAGTGGACGACCCAGAGTGGGCCCATTGCCCCCACCTCCTGAACAGACCATAAAACAGGGTTGCCAGGTGTAATGGGAAATTATGTTATAGTATAGATCGTAATACAGATATCTTGACCACGTATATAAGTTAGGTTATGTTATAGTATCATGTGTAATGTTTAAAGAATGTACTACTGGATGTGAGGAAGTCAGGAGATGATTTTAATTAGTTTAGTATCCAGGTTATCTGTTATCTTGTACACTGTTTCTTTGTTGGTAAGACGGAGACACAGAGAGACCTTGACTAACAGACATCCTTTGTCTGAAATACTTTTACTCCCCTTTTGACGCATTATCTGAAGTTGTAAAGGCGTGAACTTTTGTATGCATAGATGATGTTGAATATTGCATTTCGTCGAAGAAGGTTTCACGCAGTCTACTGAATACATGGTTGCTGTGCTTTCTTCCCTCTTGTGCAAGAGAATAAACGGAAAAAGACAACTTTGAATCTTCTGATGACTTCATTATTGATTTGAGAACATAAACTCTCTCCTCCCGATTAACCTAGAAATTTTCCACCACACGGGGTCATTCACTCACATACAGGGGAGACATTTTATTGGGTGGGTTTTTATATAGATTGAGCCACATGGTTTGAGTGTTAAACTCAGTTTGCTAACAGAAATAGTGCAAATATAATATGTAACATTTAATCTAAGACAACATTTAAACAGAGGTTAACACTGTCAATGTAAAGAAAAGGGTATTTTCCTTAGTCAAATATTGAGAAGTTGGACCATTAATATAAATTAAAAAGCACCAAAACTCACAATTAAAGTTTTTGGCTTAAAATTAGTAATGGCTGCATTCTATTCACGTATGTCAGTTTCATGGCCTTGCATGGTGGTGCATGCTGTTCCTTGTCAACTGTAGTGGCTCTCCTACACGAACTGTGTAAAAAGCCCAGTGAAACGAATTGTGTTGGAATGTAGGCTAAAAGGTTTGACCTACTTAAAGGGAAACTTTGCAGATTTTCAAGCGGCTTTGTATCATTTCAATGTGGGTGTTATGTTCAAATGGACAATGTTCGGCTTCACTCCGTGTTTCAGTTGAAAGCTATAGTTTCCCTTCAATATTACTTGAAAACCACCTGTGAAACATTGCTGAAAATTGGCAATTAAAGAATTTTGTGTCTCAAGAGCAGCTAACTGTTTCACGTAACCTAAAGCTGAATAAATAATTGATTCATTTGTTTGAGAAGGACTGCAAGGCTCTCTCCAATCTGTCAAGGATGGACAACCAGCGCAACAAACGGTCTGTCGTCAGCTGCAAGTGGGAATGCAATGCCAGAAAAGAGGCTCTTTAGGGAGATAGGATTTGTCTGGTCTAGGATTTGTTATCAAGAAGAAAATGATTTAAAGTTTTGTAGGATCATAAGAAGAAGACCTGTAAAGTGACTTCATTCGGCAATACGAATGATGACCTGTGTGTTGACCATCAAGAAATTGAGCAGTGCTCCTTTGCGTTGGCCAGGTTTACTGCAGTGTTGCAGTACTGTTTGTTTAACTTTTAAAAGATTTTTTTATTTCTTATTCACTTATCTTAATTTTGGCCAAAAGATATCATAGCTGCCTATCAGCAGATTCTGCAAAGAAGTGCACTGAGAGAGAGAGAGAGGATGAGACAAAGAGGACAGGAGGAAGAAGAGAAACAACTTTCAATAAAAACTCATTTCTAAATCACACGAGATGATCGGATTCATATCTTTTAATCTATACGCATAAGTATTGTTGATATATATATATATATACTTTTTTATTTTCATAGGTGTCCTTCATTACTCCAAATTAAAGTTGAAGACATTTTCCCTATGTAACTGAATATGCAAATATGTATAGCATGCCATCTTCTTGAGCACGAGCAGATTTATCTTCATTTTATGAATGGCAAATTATGCGTGTTATGAGTATTAAGTAACCTCACGGTTACAAAACTATTGTATAACGATGAACACGTGGGAAGCCTATAGAATGGCGATGCTCTTCCCTTTGCCACGGGCCATCCTCTAAATGTCGTACTCTATTTAAAGAGTCCTGTCGAGGGATTCACATTAAGGCTGTGGCTAACTCTGTTCACCCCTTCTAAGGTAAACTCACCACCACGATAATGGGAAAGGTTCATCTTAAAGGGAATGATACCAAAGAAAAGAAAACTGAGTTTAGTTTAGTGCGTGTCACAAGTGCCTGGAAGTGTAAACTGGGAAAGAAGGTCACTGCTGGCTGCGTCTCTGCTGCAAAAATGTGAGTATAACAGTAATCTTTAGCATTATTTGATTAAAAAAAAAGTATGACACAAGTATCCTCTTTGTTGTTTTATATTTATTGGCCTAATAGTACTGTCTGGCATACGGCAACGTAGTTTCCGTGATGATCAGGAAATGTGGTTGCTCAATGACAAGCATGTCTCAACGTGTATGACGTGTATGATTATAGTCAGTGTAAAATATTTTATGTAAATTTGTGTGAACATGTTACATTTGAAATAAAACCTATTTCATGCAACATGGAGTCAGGAAACTGAGGTCAAAGTGTATTGCAGTCTATTCAGGAATCAAGATGTAGAGATTAAAATGTATTGCTTTAGCAATCTTTTATTTCAAGTTTTTATTCATCACATATTTAACATATCTCTACTTCGAGCTCTTGTGATGTCGTAGGGTGGGGTTTGGGGGGAAAAGCAGTTACAGTATTGTTGTGCAACTGAACTATTTAGTTAAGGTTAGGAAAAAGTTATGGTTGTAGTTAAGGAAAGGAAAGTTGACTTTGTGGCAACTAATTAATCTGGTAGGAGATAACCTTTGAACTGGGGTCGCCAGAGTCAATGTCACAGTCTGTGTAATGCCAACCATCCTTGACTTCTGACCTTGAGAGGTTTTGCACCAATCATTGTTTGCACAGTACAGTACATCATTCTACATCACATTCATAATTATTTTCTTTCAAAAAGCATTCCAATTCCATTGTCCTTATTTCAGCCAAATTGCATTGTATCTACCGCTGTACTAGTGAGTAGAAATGCATCACCTTTATTTGAACACATATATATAAAAGGCCAATTGGGATATGTTGCTGAATGCTACCAATAAATCAATTAATCATCATGTGGTCAAACAAGCGGTCAAGTTGTGCTTCTCTGGAATCCGGGTATATTCTGATGGTCTGATGGTTCAGTGATGAGTTTGTGTCAATTTAAGATAGATTGCCTCGGGTATATCACTGAGTTTGGAATTTGACTTGAAGGTCTTCTCATTTTCACAAGAAGCTAGTTTGTCAATTTGACAGATACGGAAAACTACCAGTCGTTAGGGAAACTAAATTAGCTGTCAATCAACTTAACACTTTTACAACATTAGGGTCACGTGTAGGAGTTGGGGGAGAACTAGTTTTTGCCATGAACCAACCCAAGTTGTGTTGGGTATATGACCTAAATACCTTTGCAACTACTGCAAGGGAGAAGATGGCAATCTACACATGGTGTGCATTTAATTTGTGTTAAAAAATAACGCAAAGGGATTGGGTGGAAATCTCCAAAAGTACTGCACTATCAGAAATAAAGTAATCTATTATGAAAGCACTGTTGACCTCCTTATTCTGTGAGTTTGAGAGAAGAATATAACTTGTTTATTCTGCTGCTTGCTTCCAGCTAAAACAGGGACAAGGAGTCTCGGAGGCGCTAACGTCTGTTTTGTCTTCAGAAATAGTAAATGATACATCCTGTGCATCTTTTTCACAATTATAGTAACATCAGTGTGTTGAAGGCTTTTGTATTAAACTGCATTAGTTTGAGCTAATGAACTGGAGTGTATGAAGTGCAATATATTGACAGAAACAGAAAAAAGAATATGAAAAAAACCCATCTACAATAACTGTAACCCATATCATTATAATACATATTGTTGTTTATGTGTTTTGTGTGAAAGCTATGAGAGCATCACAGAACAGGGCACCAGTTGGACAGTGGTCAGCCCCATCATCTTTACTTACAAGGTGACTGAGACCCGGCACTTGCTGGACCCAAGCAACGACACCCTCCTGCTGGGCCACATCACCGATCCGCAGCAGCTGGAAGACATTCAAAAATCAAACAAGCCAATCAAACGCTTCGTGGTCGTTGACCAGGAAGTCTACAAAATCTACGGTGCCAAGCTAACTGAATATTTAGAGGCCAACAATGTTGTGTACAAGATCTTGTGTCTACCTACCACTGAGGAGAACAAATCCATGACAATGGCCTTGAAGATCCTAGAGGAGGTCAACAACTTCTCCCTTGACCGCCGCACAGAGCCCATCATTGCCATTGGTGGCGGGGTGTGCCTGGATATAGTGGGCCTGGCTGCCTCACTCTACAGAAGACGCACCCCTTACATCAGGGTCCCAACCACACTGATCTCCTACATCGATGCCAGCGCGGGAGCAAATACAGGGGTTAACTTTGCAAATTGCAAGAACAAGCTACATTCCACCAGCCGCAGCCTTCCTTGACCTGTCCTTCATACAAACTGTTCCACGACGTCGCATCTCCAACGGGCTGGCAGAGATGTTAAAGGTACGTTAAAGTCCCTGGATGTGGAATGTTTACCTTAAAGTTGATACAAACCAAAGAATGACAATTCCAGTATCAACGTGATCATCAGCTTATACCATGACGTGCTTTACAATGTAAATGCTATTATTATTAACATTTTAATTGTGCAAGTGCGACAGCAAGTACAAAGTGGTAGGTTCCTGACTGTAAGGGTGTGTTGAAGTGCACCTGGTATTATAGTTCAGTTGAAGAAGTTTCCAATGCATTTTCACACCCAACTGATACCGACGCACCCTTTAGCGAACTGGATGCTCCGGGCGTCTAACTCCCTAAAGTCATCGGCATCATTATAAGACGGTCAGAGCAGCTAAGTTATATAGTTTAAAGAGTGTGAAAGTCCACTCAGAGTGGGCAGGGGGACAAACAAGTTGGACGGGTCAAACAAAAACAGGACTCTCAACCAGGAGACTGCTATTCATGTCGCCAGTAAAACCCAGGGTTGACTTACTTATTTTAAACCCAAACCACAATCTTTTCCTGAACTTAATCAACTAGTTTTGTTGCTCAAGTAAACCTATAAAGAAATTAAACTCGTGTTGGAATTTATTTTTGAAAATAAACAAGTGGAAATTGACGCGCACTCCCTGCCCCGTCCAAAACTGCCACTCGACGGGAAACTACAGCATTTTAGTTTAAAGGGTATAGGGCCACTGATCAAGAGTTGGTATTCGACAGTTTGGGCGTGAGAATGTGTTGACAGTTTTACACATGCCATTTACAGTACATGAGTCACCGAAGGGAAGTTTCCAACTACATTGACAGTAGCAGAAATAGTAGCTTGATGCTTATTGGCTCTGAGAAATGAAGTCATTTACTGTATGTGCAGTAGCCTATTTTTGTTTTTCGTGTTTGAACTGCTCATTGGAGTTTTCTTTGCGCTCTTGCAGATGGCCTTGATGAAACACAGAGGCCTCTTTGAGCTTCTTGAGACACACGGCCGCATGCTATTGGACACTAAATTCTAGGCTGACAACAGCGTGTACGGCCACAACTGCTTACAGGCTGCATCACAAGCAACTCGTATAGCCATTGTAACCATGCTGGAGGAGCTGGCCCCAAACCTTTGGCAGGATGACCTGAACAGACTGGTGGACTTTGGCCACCTTATTAGCCCAGCATTAGAAATGGTAATTGATCCCTCATGGCAAACATAGCTAAACACTTAAATTCCATACAGTCAATTATTCATAAAGTATATTGGATATATAGTATGTATATGATTCTATGTGAGTCCATAACACTCGTGAGATTGTAGACGGTGTTCATTCCTTTTTGGTGACAAATATCCACATGCTCACATTATCTTTGTCTCTCTCTTTTGAATACAGAAAGTTCTCCCATCTCTGCTGCATGGTGAGGCAGTGAACATTGATATGTCGTACATGGTTTACGTGTCCAAGGAGCGTGGTCTTTTGACAGAGGACGAAAAGCAACGGATCATCAGCTGCATGGTGGGCCTGGCGCTGCCCGTCTGGCACGAGGCGTTCACCATGGAGCTCATACAGAAGTCTCTGCAGGATAGGCTGAAGCATTCCGGATGCCTGGTCAGAATGCCTCTGCCTGTTGGTCTTGGGGAAGCGGGTAAGGATCACTTAAACTGTTACTCATGAGAAACCAGGAAGTCAAAGCTCTTGGTGCCTGTGAAGCCTAGAATACAGCACAAGTCAGCGTGTCCTTGCAAAATAGGTAGTGCTGGAAGCTTGGTGACATAGCAACTACTTATGGGGCTACTTATGGCGAACTACTGTGCAACATGCTAGCTAACGTACAGGCAGTAGCATGCCACAATAGTTTGCTAGGTCAGCCCGCATTAGCACGCTAAGTGCCAAAGTCTTCCCCTCCACAATAGAAACAGAGGTCTTGTCTTCAACTATGATGGTAATCCCTCACTTTAACTAAGAACTAATACTTGCCTAAACATGAAAGAAGTACTGCTGGTGTGTTTTCACCCTAAAAACAGGCACCAGATCAGCTCGTATTGTCTACAGGACAACCAACTTATTGCTTTTAGAGTAGTATGAGCTAGTTCTTATGTTATTCAGACTTCATGTAATATATTTATGCTATATTTAAAGCATTTTTCTTTGTTCTCCTTTCTTTCATTACAGACATTTATAATGACACATCTTGTGAGATCCTGCACAAAGCTTTCGTGAAATGGTGCGATGAGCTCAGTGGTTCCTCTGACAGCAACTGACTCTGAACCTGCGCATACCACAGCTACATCCGATCAATCTGTTTTTAGGAAGGTGTATCAAATCCAATTCTGGTTTTGTACTCTAGTCAATCTTCAAATTGTTTGGGAAAAGAAACTGCACTTAAGTTGATAGCATTCACTGCCTGTATTTTCACTTTATGGCAACAAGGGCTAAATGTGGGTTAGATAGATAGATAGATAGATAGATAGATAGAGAGATAGATACTTTAACCATAGTAGCAGTGCTACAGGCACCTGTCCAACATGTGTTCAACCCTTATCAGCAAATAGTCACAATATCAGATGCTGCCGGCCGTGCAAATGAATTTCAAAGGGTTGTAAAACACCCCAATCACATTAGAGTAAGAGATGTTTTTTTAACCAGCTAGCAATTTAACAAGCAGCTTATCAACTATTCACTTATTATGTCTCTCAAGTATATTTGTCATCACCCTCATTAAAGATTTTATTTCAATTATCAAACCGTGTGTACGTGTTTTAGTAATATAGCAGATTCAAATATTCTTGACATCCTCCCTACTTTCATGTACTTTATTTCAATGGTACATCCTGTCAGCATTAATTTATTTTGTATTTTCTGTGTGTACGGAAATGATTGGCCCTATGGTCACATTGTGTTTTTTTATGTTTGTAATTCTGCCCTGTTAAGCACTTTGTGACTTATGTATGTAAAAAGCGCTTTATAAATAAATTTTACTTACTTGCTTTATTCCAGCTTTTGAACAACCGGGCAAATGCCACTGCTCACAAATGAGAGTCAGACTAACATTCCAGCTGTTTTCTACAAACTCTTAAAATGGTGCGCAGCCCCTTAAATCCAGCTAGCTGTCCAACTGCTGTTGATTGAATAACCTTTCAAAAAAAGCCTGCAGCAGGGGCTAACAAGCCTGAGCTTTAACTTTTAACACAGTGTTCCTGATTCCGGTTAAGTATCTCTCTTTGCAAAGGTGTCCGGTGACAGTGAACCATCCTCCACTATCCCTTCTTAAATTCCCCCTTGGGGAGATGAGATGGAGAAAGTCATACAACTAATAAGGTTGCTACATTTTTTGCTTTAAACTTAAAACTTAATATAAGTTTTATTGTTCGAACTTACAACAATTCCAAATATGATGCTATATAAAGTATAGGATAGGTAGGATATTTTGGAAAAAAGAGAGGCTAGAATATGACATTACAACCATTTGAATGCGTCAAAAAGAGGAAAACTTCAATTGCAAAAGTAATTATAATGATAGGACATTAAGGAAGCCACGATGGGGCACTGTTCATATTCTGTGATTTATGTTGCAATAAAGTCTATATATTAACTTTACCTCCCCTGCAGAGACCATACTCTGTACATCATCCATCCAGTCGCTGTTCCTGTCCCCTGTGGCTGCAGCCTGTCTCAGCACACAATGACAGGTCACCAGACCATTGCTGAAATCTCTGTTGCATTCTTCTAGACTGAAGAGTAAGTAAATAATAAGAAAAATTAAAACAAACTTCTTTTGTTACATTGTCTCTTGCTGAGAAAGCGTGTCCTGTCACAGTGTGGTATATATTTTCAAGAATACATTTTATTTACAATGTTTAAATGTGTTAAATACATGACAGCAAAGTAACCAAAACCAAAAGTTTGACACTCTTATATACTGCATTCTGCACAACAAATGTAATATAAATACCAACAGGTAAATAGATCAATGCATGTATCACACATACAACATTGGCACTATATACAACATACCAGCATCTTGTTTTATTTATTTACAATATTGGCAAGAGATAAGAAACATTAGCAAAAACATCTCAAATGGTGTCAGCCATTTTGGTCCAAACTTAAAAAAAGAAGAGTCCCCTCTGTATACATCTCCTCAGAGTTATGCAAGATAATGATGAATAGTATGAATGAATGAATAGTTGATACATTTTGGGCAAAGGCTGCTGTAAGCCCTTGTTAAAATTTCAACCACATTTTAGTCTATTTATTTATAAATGTTTTTTTCACATTCATTATGAAGAAAGTATTATGATGTATACTGTGAGGACTTCTTTAGGTGTTACAAGCCAGGTATAATGTATGTAGTGCTTCTGTCATCTGTGGACCAAAAACTAATTTTATTTTTGTACCCGCAGTTTAAAAAATACGGTGGTACATTATCAATATGAGGTCATTGTACCCTATATTTACCCAATATTGTCATAGACTACTTATCATTTGCCTTTAGTATCAAAATGTGTACATAAATCACGTTAGAATAGGAAAAGATAAATAACGTATTTGTGATCCGTTATGAATTCAAATAACAAACAAAACAAAATCAGCTCTCATTAAAAATAATAATATAATAATAGTAAACTAATATTAACATCAATAATATTTCTGTTTTGATTTGATTTCTTCAGAATATATTACAAACATTGGGTAAAAAAAAGAATATAAATAAATATATTTAGAAACACTTCCTAGTATGCAATGATATTTGGTACTTGATCCTTAAATATTTAAATAGCTTTTGGTGTTTTGTGCATTTTTTTGCAATGGAACCATCCGAGGTTTACCACTGTTAGATTCACCGAGGTCGAAATCTAATATTCTGAGAGTATTTGATTTTTTTTTTTACCATTACAATAAACATTTTGTGCTTAACTACCAATAGATTTTCACATATATATGTTCAGTTCAATACAAAGCATATTTTGGGTCAAATATGGAAACCCTAGTTTTACTAAAAGACAATAATAAACAGTGAAGTCATTAAGTTGACCAGTCGGTGACAGATTGTCGTCATATTTGACACCTTGCAGCCTAAATATTTGTCTAATATAACTGTCCATCTATACAGCATCAAGATCAAAATAATTTTACAACATTGTACAATCGAGGAACAGAAATACATCAGTTACATGTGTACAGTATTTTGAACATTAGAGTTCAACAATGAATTGGCAAAAAGTATGAGAAAAATATAAGGAATCAAGATGAAAATAGAGTTTGTAATAGAGTTGATCCACTTAGTCGTGTGGATACCTTTACATTCACTTTTAGGTGAGTGCCTTACTGACGGGATGATATATATTCTGGTTTGCTAACAGTCATCCTTTTCCTCCATACTCGAGCTGGAACTGTGGAGGCTGCTAGCGTTGGAGCCTTCCGGGGACATCGAGGACAGCAGGGGATCACTTGGGGACATCGGCGACAGGGTGTCCCTTACCAAATCCTTCATGTTACAGGTCCTGGAGGTTCCATAGGGACCAGAGTCCCCGCAGTCTGCAGGAATCTGGTCGAAGGTGATGGTGCCGTCGTTGAGGTCCAGCGTGGTCGGAGGGGACATGCCTGGGCCCGAGCTATGTTGGTAGAGCTCCACGGGGCAGTCGCCGAGGGTGGGCTCCTGTTTAATGGCTCGGCCGATCAAATCCGATGTGCAGACAGATGAAGAGGACACCAATGTAAGACCATGGGCACGGGCCTGGATTTCCAACTCCTAGAGGATTATAGATATAAAGAAAACATGATTTCATGAACATACTACTACAGTAGTAGATTTTCATCTGCAATGCTAGAAGCTCTGTGAGTCCTTTGAGCTAAATGCTAACGTCAGCATGCTAACATGCTCACTGAGACAATGCTCATCTTAGGCTGTATTCGAAATCGCATACTAACGTACTACTCATACTATTCAAACTAAGTATAATGTACAATTAAGTATGTAGTATGCTAGCATGTTAGTTATGTTGTGTATGCGAGAACTACCCAGATTTCTGAGTACGAGCTTACTGCACTTACTCAGCTGCCCCACCAAGCTGTAAATATGTCACTTTATTAAGTTTGAATATGCTTTCTTGAGAGAAAGTAACAGTTTAGATCCAGATAACTCCTGTTAGCAAATTTCTTTTTAGAGATGTGAAGGAGCCGCTGGCTGGCCCCTTGAAACGGGCCTTGAGAATACTTCAGTGTGAACAGTCTGCTGGTAAAATCATACCTAATCGTTCATTTAGTAGCCATTATGCAGTACATACTGATTGTATGCAGCACTTTAGAATGCGATTTTGAACAAAACTTGTGTGTGTTAGCATGCTAACATTAGCACTAAACGTGCATAGAAATATTAAATAAATTGAAATGTTGACCCGATGGTGATACTACATTATACAAAATTATAACAATGAACAGAGGAACACAACTGTGCTCAGTTTACTGTACTTTTTGCTCCACCAAAGACAAATGACCCACCTGTATACGTAGCATCAGATGGCGGTTTGCATGCTCCACCTTCCTCTGTCTGCACTCAATCTCCTTGGCTCTCTGCTGCTCCCGCTGTAGCCTCCTGATATAGTCCACTGAGGCTTTCAGAATGGTTCCCTTATTCCAGCGCATGTCTCTGGGGTATACAGGAGACAGATGTCTACATTCAGAGTCAGCTGACTGGCTGACCAAAACACCACAGGGTTCTATGAAGCCCCTCTGAGCATATGAGTCATTCAACTTTATGGACGTATGAAGAGGATGTTAAAAATAAAGCTAATGAATAGACAGATAGACGGGTAGCACATGCATCCATATGCACAAATTCATGCAAAGCATACACTCACGGATCGTTTGACTTGGGTATCAAGGTTCCCAGTTCTTTGATGCGATCGTTGATGTTGAATCTCCGTCTTCGTTCAACTAGAATTTGTCAAATAGAAGAAACAGTAAGTACGGCAGCCTCGTCTTTGAAAGTTTAATTAAAGCCCATAAAATGAATAAAGAAAACTTGGAAATACAAATAAAAAACCCACTAATATCTGCAAAAAAAGTTGGAAATAGTATTTCATAGAAAACCTCTGAAATGTCTGGTATCTCACACTATAAGTTGCCATTTTGCTGTAATTACATCACGTAACCACTGAGACAATCATTCCGATGTATTGATTGACTCACTTAAGTTGTGGTTGTCTTTTTTCTGTCTCTCCTTAGCAAGAGCACGGACTTCAGCCTCTGTGAAGCAAAGAGAAACATGAATGTTAGTGCTTTGAGAAAACGTCATTGTTTAAATTCAATGGGTAACAAGAACAAAATGAATGGAATTTCATGTTAATATCTTTATATAGTAAATATGCTTTTGTCTACTAGAACATTTGACGATATCCTGGATAATCACAGCCAATAACAAATAATTTCCATGTGAAATAAAGTTAAAATAATGTTAATTAGCAAGATAATTACAGTTGATTTGTATTTGGTTTCTGAAAATCTGATGGAAAACAGCTTTTACAGTTTACAAATCTTTTTCACTTTCTTCATTTTGCTTTGCTTACCTACTGGAAAGCCCTCTTGCCTTTGATAGTTTTCATACATGCTACAGGAATCAGACTTGTCCAGTACTTGCTTCATGCCAGGAGCTGGAGTAATTATTTGGCAAACAGTTGACTTAATAGTATATTGTGCATTTCCAAATTGCACACAATACAGACATTGGCCTACAGTCATATTTATACATCAAAAATGTGTTGATTTCCCCTTTAAACAAATAATTCACAGTATAATATCAGATCTTAGATAGGTAGAATTAACAAACTTTTCTCAGTGTGCACTTTGATCAGATTTCACTACCAGATCGAATGGGGATTTACTTGCTGAGAGTCAGATATTAGTCACGGAAAAATGTACTAAATTGATAATCAAATGACTTCACAGTCTGAATGTACAGCACTCATCGTATTGTTCACAGCTGGATTCGAGCCAAATGACATTTGAGGACGGTAAACAGAATAAACACTGACTATGTGTGTGAAAGAGATTTGTCAGTAATTTACCTGAGTATTCTCTCTTAATGTTGGGTGGACAGGAGTTGCTGATCGCGAGGCCGGGGAGTGGAAGTCCTTGGTTGCCGTACACATCGAGAAGGTTTCCAGACACAGGGAGCTACAGAGTATTAGAAACATGACATTAAAAGCAAAGCTACGCATTGTATTCAAATTAAATTCAAAGACAGATGTACTACAGAGATTTTACAGTCATATTTACAAAAAGCAGTATATTCTTTTATCTTGAACATTTACCGGGTTGTTCATTTGGAGTCCCGGGTCCATAAGCCCAAGAACCTCTTCATTGTAACTCGACTCCAAGCTAATAATATCATCAATGACATCATCCATCTGTGGGGCAAAAGAGCACATTCCGTTCAATAACCACAGTTTATTTGAGTATCTGAATGTAATGAAATCAAGCAGCGGGGGGGGGGGGGGGGGGGGGGGGCGTACCTCTTTCTCACAGTTGGAGCTGAGGGTGAGCAGGGCCATGGGACTGTTGGGGGCACTGCTGCCGTGCCCGGGCGGCATGCCGTGCTCGGGGGGCTGGCTGGGGCACTGGCTGCCGGCTTTGCCACCCAGGGTGGTGGACAGATACTGCCTCACCTGCTGCCGCTGAGACGGCTGGATGTGGTACTTGGTGGGGTTGTCCAGGTGGGACTGCACCTATACGTGAGCAGGACGGAAACATTACTCCCTGGGATTTTTCCATTCTTTTATCAAGTCTACTGTATGATTTTTATACTTAGGAAAGCAAGGATTAAGGATCGCAAACAACGGGGAATACTACTGTTTTAAATCCAAATAATAAGCTTGTCTTAGAAAGTAACCACAAGGAGTCGTGCTGTGTTGCAGTAGAACTACTAATCTAATGTATAATGCCGACCAATGAGCCCGAAAACAACATTTTAAAAGCAGGCGTTTTTTCTCCTTACATTACAATTCAGATATAGCAGTGCAGATCATTTTATCAGCATCATTCACCCTGCTACAGGCCGATTTTACATACTCGAGACAAACACTCTCCACACAGAGGACACTGTGGTCCAGTGCAGTTGTGTCACATGATCTATGACCAGTTTAAGTTTAAGCTGCACCTAAACAACTCACGCAGCAGTATAAAAACAATTTAGCATTTATTAGCTTTTCTGTTATACTGTTAAGTTTCTGTAGTGTTAACTGTTCTGTACTGTGTTCAGCAAGTGTTGATAACTATCTAGAGAGGGATAATAACACAGTCTTTAACAGCACATACTGTCAACATAAATACCATTTCAACCACAGCAGAATAATTAGATAATAGCTTCATCTTTAGATTCTTTTTATCTATTTTTTTTCTCAAAATAATAGCAAAGACAAAAAAATCAACCCCTCACCTGATAATGGCTGTATTCAAGCATTTCCAACATGTTATTTGAGTAGCAATTGATAAAATTAATCTACATACAGTAAATAATCCCTTTATCTTCTTCGCCTACACTGTGAACAGCAAGCTAGCATCTGCAAATCTGAGAGCAGTGGCGAGTCCTGCTTAATTTATCCAAAGTTTACGGCTCATTAGTTATGCAAGTTAAGGAATGGAGGAGGACACTGAGACTTATCCTCCCACTGCTATGTTGTTCCAGTTTAACTATGAATTTTGTCTTTATAGAGCCCATTTGACGTCACCACCTACGGCTCACAAAGGAGTCTTTTTACTGATTGGCCAGTAGCCTGCGACTTGAAGCTTGCTCAAGGCTAACTAACGTTTAATCTTTAGTTCTGCTCGTCTGGTATAAAACATTATTTGTTCTGAGCAGAGGGAACACAATTGACACCATTGTTTCACAACAAACTAGCCGTATTAAATCATGAATTTATTGTGAATTTTTGGGATTGGGTGTGAATTAAATTTTACCGTCACAGTTGCTATGCAGTCACATTTGCAGGGTAAAGAAGGTGAACGGCTTGATTTTCAGGCTTAACAGTAAGGTATTGTATTTAAGTATTCAGATAAGCGTTTGTCCAGCCTATCCGCTCTCACTGTACTAGAAAGCGTTGGATATCAACCCTAGTATCCCATTGGAAAACACGTTTTCAGTTATAAGGTTCTAAAAATGTTCCTGAATGATGTATCCATGCATTTCCAGGACATATTGAAATAATAAAGGGTCTAAATTAGATACGTATGTGCAGTGTCACATGTTAAGTATAAATGGTCACATGACCAGAGCTGTTTACTTCCTGGCTGCATCTAAAAGAGAGGATGGCTGCATCAACACTCCTAATCAGTAGGTTATTAAGTTATGTTAACATAAACACAAGGATTTTCGGCACACCTCATCTTTAAGGTGTCTAGTATTTATATATGCATTTGCAATTACTCAGCTTTGTTCAGTGTGGTCATAGAATGAGCAGACATGTTGACGACAACAATAGTGACGGCAGGATAACGCAGTGCATCTTGGTATATACACATATTTTCCCTCAATTCAATGCATTTAGACATGTTCAAGACAAGCTGCTAAAGTTCAAACCAAGCATCATAATCGGGGGAAAAGGTTGATGCAAATTACCGGCTGCAAATCCACAATGCACAATTATCTCTAGAATTTACAAAGAATAGTTAAAAAAGATAAAATATGGGGTGAGCGACAGTTTCCGAGAATTCCTTGTTGATGGCAGATGTCAGAGGAGATTGGCCAGGCAGCTAGCTGATAGAAGGCAACAGTGAATCAAATCGTTACAACCGAGGTATGTAGTAGAAAAATTAGACAGTAAAAGATAGGAAAAGGTCAGGATGAGAATTAGTACCTCCTAATCTGGGGCCATAGTTGAATGCCGGAATAACGATAGATCGCGCCCTTCCCTTTGGGAGTGAGTCTCCGCGCTCTAAGGAGCTCAGATATCAGGAGGGAGCTCGGAGTAGAGCTCCTTCATGTCGAAAGCAGGCGGAGGTGAATGGGGCATCTGATCAGGGTACCCCCTGGACGCCTCCCTTTATAGGTTTTCCAGGCACTTCTAACTTTTTATAGCATTTTGTGGATCAGTTGGATCAAGGCAGAACACTCAATGGTGCACTGGAAGAGGCCCAAATGTGTGGTGATTAACTTGTGAAAGAAGCCACAGTCACAGATGCATGGTGGAACTGTGGCACTGTTGTAAACAGGCTGGGATCATTACCCATCGAATCATACGGTTCCTTTTTAAAAGTCAATAAAAGCTTTTTAAAAGCTGCAAAAGGCACAATGACTAATAAATTAGTTAGTCCTGAGTAAATCATATAACGTAACACTGTATTCATTATATCTTCTTATTGCAGGTGGATTTAGGTCATATTTTTGTCATTTGTGAAGGCACAACATTTTTGTATTGTTTGCCGTTTGTTATACATACTGTATTGTATTGTATACGTATTGATTTATCCTTTCCCAACACTGGCTTGGAACAGGTCCTTGATGGCTTGTATCTGCTGCTCATGTCGAGTAATCCTTTTTTTGAGAATACCCCAGATGACACAAACTGTTGTTGTACATATTGTGTTGTGGTACATTCACACTCAATGCATGTGATTGAGGCAATAAATTTGTGCTGAATACAGCTAGTGGCAAGTGGGGTCAACCACAAACATATCTTTCATATTCTATTGATTGAGGCTGCGATAATAAAGTTCACCAAATTTCAACTCCAGACCATACGAAGATGCAAATTTTGCGCACGTGCAACCGTGTCCTTAATGTGGGCAAACGTTAGCAAGTATTCTACAGCTTTCTTACTTCCTAGAAATTTTAAATGTTTCTATTTATCACATGAAATGGGGGGAAAGAAATCACGTTTAGGAGTAATATGGGAGCAAAAGGGGGGTTAATCAAGCATGAACTAAACCAATTATACAATTTCCATTTTGGACATTCAGTTGGTAGTCCTCTCCAGAACCATGGGTCAATGTCTTGGTCAAAGACACACAATCGGCAATAACGTCTGCTATTGAAACATGTGAACTTTTGATTCAAGTTTTGGGCTCTTAAATAAAAAAAGTCTCAAATTATTTTTCTGTCGGCTACAAGTTGCATTTAAGGGTAAAAAGAGACAATGGCCATTTAGAAATCGTCCCCGTAATCTGTGTTTATTGAAAATATTATGTGGATTTTATTCATAATGACTGATTTGTTGTGTCATAGCTGCATTGGATTACTTGTTTGTACGCTTTTGTGCCACCAAAACAAATATTTGTAGCTTTTTAGGCTAACACTAACACTCCAGAGAGGAATAACATCGACGTCACGCCAAATTACTTTACAATTTTAACAACGATTTAACTGTTGAGTCTAATGCCACAGTGCTGCGTATTAATAATGCACTGAACTACTTCAAATGTTTTGCTCCTAGGGAAGCATCATTTATTTACACCACCCCCTGAGGCAACTTTGTGATACTGAGCTATATAAATAAAAATTGGCTTGACTTCAATTTACATTTTGTCACCACTGATGATGATGAGAGTATGCTGCAAGCAAAGCAAACACAGTAGAAAATGTTTTTGCACTGACTTGAAAGCTTATCTAATCATGAAGTTGAATAGTTACCGATACCTAGATTCAAACGGTCCGCCAAGGAATTAAGCTGCTTCACCAGCCGAGCAGCTAATTCATGCAAACGCCTGCGTCTGCATCTCGTGTTACGCTGCTTGAGCACAGAGCAAACTCACTCGGAGCTGGAGAGGTGAACACAAACACATGTGCCCTCTGGCTGGACAGAGCCCTGTATGATAAAAAAAAAACAGAGAAAGCGCTCTTTGTAAACACATAGTAGAGCTTTTCTTTGTCTCCCCTCCGCAGTGTGGCCTTTTCCTTTAGAAAAAACCTTTGGGTTGAGAAGGAACTATCAACAAGGGATGTATTTCATTTCACCCTACAGCAAGCCGAGCTCTCACGTTATTCATTGTGAGACAGAGGTTTATTACCTTCTCAAGGAGAGCACGTGGGCCCATGTTTTAGACGCCTTGAGGACCAGTAACATTTGTAGAGATAGTCGTCACTCGTTGACCACTGAAGAATCAGATCCATTCATATCTCATAGCTCTACTCTGTTTCTTACGTCTTTGGTAACCAGCTACACTTGGGGGCATTTCTGTGAAAGCAGGATGCTACAAATTGAGTGTGTACTAAAAGCTAAATCTTTGCTTTTAAGTCACAAAAAAGTGCAATGCAAATCAGTAAAACGTATATAACACACAATAAATAATATGTGACGGAGAACCATAAACCAGGGGCCGCATTACAGTAAAATATCCTGACTGCTTGTCCTACGGAAGCGATTCCTTAACTCATGACTGTGTTATCCAATCTCAGACCTCCGAGTTTAACTTTAGCATTTCTATAACTATAACGATAATAACTATAACTGCAAATTTGATTCTTCAATCGGCACTGTAATAATGATAATGATAAACTTTACTCATACAGCACTTTTCATACAGGAGTAGTTCAAAGTGCTCAATAAACAAATTGAGGAAACAAGAGAATGAATAAACACAGATTAAAACATGCAAATACCGCAAGATGAAACCAAGCACCAAAACAAAGGAAGGCGTCAGAATAAAAAAAACGTGTAAAAGACTAAAACTAAGGAAGAGTGATTGTTCAAGGCAATGCTGAATAAATAAGTTTTCAGTTGTGGTTTTTAAA